GACGGCGACGTCGTGGATAAGAACGGCAACGTGCTCGGCTCGGCCGAGCGCTGGGAGGAGCCCGAGGTCGAGAAGCGGTCCAACCCCATGGCGGGCCGGCGCGTCAACCGCGAGGGCAACGTCGTGGACGAGGACGGCAACCTGGTGGGGAAGCTGACGACGGGCGAGCTCAGCGTGTGCGCCGGCAAGGAGATTGACGATGACGGCGACGTCGTCGATAGTAAGGGCAATACGGTCGGCCACGTCTCGCTGCTGGCCGACATCCCGCCCGAGCCGGTTGAGGAGGAGTCGGCCGAGGACAAGGCCAAGCGCGAGCTGGACGAGAAGGACAAGGATCTGGCCAAGCGCATGAGCGTTGCGCTGACGCAGGTGCTCGACAAGATCAAGCCCATCTGCGAGATGATCACGAGGGTTTGTTTGTCTTTTTCCTTTCTCATAAACCCACTACCACTTTTCGCACACAAAGACTAATGCATCTATCCAACATCAACAGAAGATCGAAAAGGCCGACCGCACCCCCAAGGAGGAGCTGGACGAGGAGGAGCTCGTCAAGGAGGTGCGCCCGCTGATCGAGGAGGGCGGCAAGATACTGCAGGAGGCCAACGGCGTCATCCGCGGCCTCGACCCGGACGGCCGCATCCAGGCCAACGCCAAGCACAAGGCGGCCACGCGCGAGGCCACCCCGGAGGAGTACCACCTCGCCGACATCCTCAAGGAGCTCACGGGCACCGTGACCAAGTGCATCGACGACGCCAAGAGGCGCCTCGAGGGCATGCCGCACGCCAAGAAGGAGCTCAACCCACTCTGGGGCCTCCTCAGCGAGCCGCTGTTCCAGATCCTCGCCGCCGTTGGTCTGCTGCTCAACGGCGTGCTCGGTCTTGTTGGCCGACTGGTAAGCTTTTGATTCTCCTCTCCTATTGTCATCCTACTAGTTGTTCTAGCACTCGGCGGCTGCTAACGGCAACTGTTTCCACGCAACAGCTCAGCGGTCTGGGTCTCGGCGGTCTCGTCGACAGCCTTCTGGGCGGTCTGGGAGTGAAGCAGATTCTCGAGTCGCTGGGAATCGGATCCCTGACCGACGCGTTGACTGGAAAGAACCAGAAGAAGAAGAGCGGCGGTCTGCTTGGCCTGGGTGGCTAAGTCGGCCAAGCGAGAAGGTGATGACAACGAACGAACACCCGTCTGCGGTTTGTTAATTGATGTAATGCCTGCTTTGGTCCTTTTGATGATAATGTTATCCTTGCTTTGTTGGGATTGTAATGGTTAATGGCAGGGGGTAAAAATCCTCGCTGGTTGGAAACGAGGAACAAAACTTGGAATTCGGTTAGCCAGCGCCCTGTTCTATGTAATTTAGTGAACTTCGTTACTAGTTGTTAGGGCAAAAGTATTTGTGCCATGCCGACGGGCTATAGTAAAACAAACTCCCTGCTCCCAGAGCTTCCCTCGAGGATCAAAAAGACTGATTCGACCGAGGCTCGAACTCAGGACCTTGTGCGTGTGAGGCACACGTGATAACCAACTACACCATCGAACCAATCATGAAGCCCTGCAGACCTTTAGCCAGCATATGTGACTCTGTGGCTGGCAGGGATAATGGCAGGGGAGATGGCTCGGGTCTCCACTAAAAAGTTTCTCACCCCGCGCGAAAGCTTCGTCCATTTCGTGTTGGTTTTCCAGCACTCAGCCCGAAGAGATCGAAGCGACGACGCCGTTTGACCGTAACGAGCAGAGTCACAGTTGTCCAGAGGGTCTCCAGGCCTCGCCGCATCTAGAACCTACCGATTCGAGCCCACGATCCGCCAGTATGCCTTCAGTCAAGAATCCCAACAAGCCGTCCAAGAACCGGATGGCCGCCCGCGCCGCCAAGGTGCGCAAGACGGCGCAGAAGAAGTCGGCCGAGGGCAAGCTGTCGCGCGTCGAGAAGGCGGCCACGAGGCGCGGTGCTAGGCCTGGTCTGCTGCCGACAAGCGGCGCCGGCGCGCCCATCAGCGCCAAGAAGCAGCGCAAGCTCGACCGGAAGCTGAACCACGCCCTGAAGCGCAAGATGGAGGCCGAGGGAGAAGTGGAGATGAAGGGTATGCTGCTTTCCCCACGGCCCAGCTCGCGCTGTCTCCCCCCGATCCCGTCCCGGCAGCTAACCTGTTGCTGTGAAATCAGACATCCCGGAGAAGAAGGCGTCGGCCACCGCGACCAAGGACGAGACCGATGCAAAAGCAGCCGATAATATGGAGCTCGATACCTCATGAGGAGCCAGAGGGTAGATTCGCGGAAAAGCTCAGTTGCAGATGGCCAAAATCTGGCAGGACTAAGTATTCTACCGCCTTTTCGGCCGAGAGAGGGAGCTCGAAGAAGCTGGTCCCGGCCTAAAGCCCGGATACACGTCTGGACTTTTGGTTTGCTTGCCACAACGCTGCGACTCAATTATATACCCTCGGTTAAAAGGGCTGTAGCAATCCCTCGAGCATAAAGAAATGCTCACGCCGTTTGGTCCACGAGGACCGCCCCAACTGGCAATGGGCGGTTGCTATGGTATCCATGGGCCTCCATCAGAGCGCCATATCACCGAAGGATACCACAAACGGCGGTGGTTTCATCAATCAGATATACATTCAATTGATCATTCCTGGTTGCCCCGTCCGTCCCCCGAACGGAATACTTGAACGTTTTGTGCTCCCTCTATGCACATGATGCAAATCTTGGCAAACTTGTGGCTCGTGGAGAGAAGTGTCCCCATTAAGGTTCCGGTCGCTTATAACCGGCTAAGCTGGTATCCTGTACCACTTCTCACAGACCCGCGACCAAGCCATCTCTGCGGCAAGCGTGGTTCAACACTCTGCGGCCAGCAAAGAATCCGTGGTACCACTGTGGAATCGAGCCACTCTGCGTGGCAGCCTGCACATTTATCCGCTACATGCGGCGGGGTCCACGCTGGAAACTGGTCAATCCCCTCCACATTTTTAGCAGTACTATGATGGCTAAAAGCCTAGGACAGGGACAGAAAGTGGTTCTGATTGACATTAAATTAGCCCGCCCCATTTGTCCCCTCCGTAGTCCTCTTCTTTGTGTCTGATCTGGATGCGGTGATGATGCCTGCTCCATATCGCCCAGCCGCCGCTAAGAAAGCACCTGCATCAGCGACCCTTGGATGCTTGCTTGGCGGCAACGGCGCTATTATACCGGACCGTTATCTGCAGCCCGCTAGGCACCTTTGTGACCCGGCTATGGCCCGACGCCCCAAGTGTCCCGGTCGCTGCGACGCTGTCGCCCGCCGACCTTCCCATCCTGCCGTAGTCCATACTTATATCCACATGCAATTGCATGCATTTGTCCCGACGGACCGCCCCATCTCTGTCGACTTTAAGCCCGTGGCTTTCAACTTTTTTCGAACGATTTTGTTTGCCACTGTTCCATTTTTATCGAAGATCCCAGATCGTATCTCTTCAATTTTCATCATCCCACAGAAGAGGTTGGAAGGAACGCGGCCGTTGGTGTCAAAGGGGAAAACGATCGAAAGATATTAGACGACCAAACGCCACCCTTTAACAATACACCCAGCCACATCTCTGGCACCCGTCCAGCCACTTGTCTAGGCTAGAAGCGAACGGGTTCCATCCGCCACTCGGCCGAGAAACGTCAAATTATACCACCGATCGCCCATCCACCCAAGTGTTGGACGAAATGGGGTGTCGATGGGCTGTCTATTTCCTTCTGTTCGGCCTCAGTATCTGCGCCACCATCAACCAGCGGCCAATGGACAACTTCCGAAGCTCCTGCAACCCCAAAACCGTCAAGGTCAACGGCCGATACGCGACCGCGGTCTGCAGAACTATCAAGGGCGACCTTCGATGCTCTCGCGTGGACCTGACCAACTGCATCAAGAACAGCTATGGGTCGTTACAGGCCGACCCCAGAGAGGCTGGGTAGGTTGTCGTCATGCATTTTCGGGCAGCATGCTGGATGCGGCCGCCATTTCCATTTCACACGACCCTGACTGAGCCGTGCTTATGCGTGGGCCAGGCCGTCATTCTTCCATGAATGCTTCAACTGCAGTAACCAGCCCCAGACCGGGGGCATCATCACCAACGCCCCGACGCTCCTGCATTGCCAATGCGATCCCAAGACTGGAGCTCCTCGATCGGGCTGGCCGACGGCTATCATGGATATAAGTTGGTCCTCCCTTGTGTTCTCCTTTCTCTGCTGTCGTCCCTGCTCCACTACGCACTTCTAACAGGTGACACTTTCTCAATCCAGATACCATAATTGATAATATCGACGGCGTATTACAGTGCAATGGACGGCATGGCATGGTGTGGTCTTCTTGTTAGCGTTTACTACAGTTACCTACCTTAGTGATAGCAGTTTCTTCTAAGCAGGACAACGCAGCTTGTTTAGAGTTGTTAGGAACTGATTTGCCGTTGATGCATCCACGGTTCATCGAGGTACTACGACGTAGTTACACACCAAGGTAGAGATGTAAACCAATATTTCTTTTTATAAAGCTGTGTTAATTATAGGATTTAGTACCAGTAACCAGTTAACCAGATTTAAAGCAATGAGAATTACCTGAGCGGAACCGGTTAACTCATTCCTCTATTCGGGTAATTACAAGAACTATCCTTTGAATGATTAGCATGTCCAGGTCTTTCGACATTCTTTTAGTTTATTACAATCTTATCGTTTAATTATAAACTTGGGCAATGCTTCGTTTCGGCAAAGGCTCCCTCTGATTCTTGAAATCAAGTTGACCTTCTCAAACGGGTTCAAAAGAGGCTGGGTCGACCTGTGCTGTATAAATAGAAGCGTAGAAACCTCCAAAGCCATTAGCTCCGTATCACAATTTCTGGATCCCAGTGGCATAGAAAATCTGCTTGTCATAAAATTTCAGGACGTAGTGGTGATGCCGTCGGGGGCAAAATCGAGTATCTGGCGAGGTGGTGCCAGCACAGAGAGCTCGGGTAGTGTGATGGTGTTTTTGGCTTCGCCTCGTTGGGCCTACACAAACGGGAGACATCGCGTAAGGTTTGCTGGGCATACTGAACATCAGTTTGCCACTTCTCCACGGAGAGACACCTGAGCAATTCCTGCAGAAGCAGGAGAATTTCAGGGGACGGGGTGGACTACAGTCTGCTTATATAGACGTTGAAGTGGCCCTGGATGGAGGACACTCCAGGCCAGCTTGGGAAGCGTTGTTATCAAATGTCTTGGCCCAAACAGGCTCCTCTGCTGGGCGGAGCTCGTATGGGAGCACAAGACGGATTATTCTTGGCAGGTGCCTTACAGATCTGCGGGAGAAATTCCTTATGACAAGCTGAGAAGAATAGAAGATACTCCCTATGGTGTGCTGTCCAAGCCAGCCCGCGGGAGCGTATGTTGCTGGTCGGGTGAGTCTTCCAGCTGGCTCTGCCAATGCAAAACAAGCCGAAAAGCATGGCCAATTTCCATCTATACGCCAAAGCATACGGCCATAGTCTACGTACTCTCGCTGCGCCTGCCTGGCTAGTGCGACTGACTCTAAGCTCGTAGGCATTGTCATCTTGACGGACACGTTCTCTACGTCATGGCTTTGCCACATGCACAGGGGCAGAAACGCAGCGGTCACACGATGCGATTGCTCCTCGCGCGTTCCATAGTCTCATGGTTTGTGAATTTCCATAATCACAGTAAAAAAAACTCGTCGTGCAAACAGTCTACTGTCATGTTGGTGTCGTTATGGGAAAGGAACATCTTGAGCTCGGCGGAGGCGTGCTCCAGTTTGAGCATTGCGCCGCAAAGACGACATGCTGCCAAGAATGTGTCACAGTTTCTGATCTTAATATTCTCGGCGTCTCGCCCAAATTCCATCTAACTCTATGGGTCTTCCATCAGGGCGACAAAGCCATGGATGGAGTGCTCTTTGTGGATCACGACAGGATCCCGCCCCTTGTTCGCCACGGGACGCTGCAGGGCAAGCCGTTCTGCACGAGGTGTCACGTCTGGAAGCAGAGAGTCGGCAAAAGAAGTCGGAGGTCTTCGGAATCAGCGGAAGCTGCCGCAGAGTTCAGGTATCAGAGGAGCCCGATCGGGGAGTCCACGTAGGCGGTGGCTTCGGAAAGGATCGCCGAGTGTCAACATCCACACGGAGCCCATTGTGGCGGCGGTGGCCATCCGCGAGAGAGCGCGCGGAGAGTAAAACATCTTCTGGGTACACACTCCGCGTGGCAGCTTGCCAGGCCGACTACATTAAGCTGTGGATGCAGCAACATCCGGCGCCTCAATCACATCACGCAAAGGAAACGAATATGCCACATCAAGTCATGTATTCTTACGCCTGCAGCGAGGCACGGCAGACCTTTCTTGTGATCCAGTTTGTAACATAAATCGACATCCAGAAGCAGGATGCCACCAGGAATAGAACAGCTTCTGTGCGTTGTGGAGGAAACAGAAAGACATGGAACTCGCCGGAGCGCTACCCAAATACCTACAAATCCACGTTCGCGTCGCTAGAATGCCCATTCCATCTTCCCATGTTCGCCCTTGGAGTTAAGAGATGGCGAT